TATAAATCACACCAGTTGTATGTGAAATATCAATCCTTCGGCTAATCAAATGCTTGTGTGCAAAGACCAGATACTCACCACCATGGAAATGTTTGACAGCCTGTCTTATATGGACATGTGTGAGTGTGAGATCAGTGTGATGTGTGGAGATGACACTAATGATGACTTTGATGAACAAATGTTTTCAGTCAAGGTTAATTTCCCTAGGATTACCACAGGTCAATGTCTTTTTTATGTAAGCAATGCATGCCTGAGTTAAAGAATAATTTAAAAAGTTGATTTTTAAACACTTTCTCAAATACATATCTACATAATTTTCTAGGTTTGCCATATTTCGTACATTGTGGTTGTGGGACAAAGGTATCTGAAAACCCTAACACAACCCATTTCTGATGACATTGTATTATCAAAATTTCCACCCCCTGGAGGACCTGGAGCTGAGGGACAGCAAGTCCTTCTGCTACACCACTGAGGGTGACACCACTGAAATTATGATTCTGTAGATTTTTGTTAGGATATAGATATTCAGGCCTGTCTGGAAAGGCCTGTACTTTAAGAATTTAGGTGTATTCTTATCACTTGGCTAGTTAGAGGTATAAAAGAAAGAATCAAAATCACTGTCTGCCAGTGTAAGGTCCTTCTCTTACTGTGACAGTCTGAGGTCCTGTTCTTAGGCTAAGGCCTTTGGCTAAGCGACAGAGGCAGCCATAAGCTGGGAAGCGACTGGTCACATCCTCACATTCCAAACTAGTCACATTGAAAGAAAGTGCTATTGGGCTGTTAGGAATACAATCCTGTCCTGATAGTGCCTATCACCTCCAGAGAAAGGGAAGTGCCTAGAAGATGTAAAAGGAAATTGAGGTTGATAGTTTTCTGTCTGGTAAGAACTCACTTATCAATAGACACAGCTGGGAAACTCTTATGTCTTTATAGATGTAGTTGTGAAATCCTCACTTCTGTATTGTTTTGTCATTATAGTTCCCACTTTGCTATTGTATATTGGCATGGTCTCTGTCTGGTTCTATGATTGTTTCTGTCTGCTGTATAATTAATTTTGCTGCGTGTAAACTAATTAAGGTGCTGGGATATAATTTGTTAGCTAATCATGTTACAATATGTTAGGATTGGTTAGTTAAATTTCAGTAGAATGATTGGTTAAGGTATAGCTAAGAATATTACTATATAAATTAGGGGCAAACAGGAAGTAAGTTGGGATTAGAAAATAAGGAAAAAGGAATTTGTATTTAAGCTCGCTGGAAGTTCACCCCAATAAACATCGAATTGTTTGCACCTTCGGACTTCGGGTATTGTTGCTCTCTGTTCATGCGAGAAGGACCAGGGAAGTGGGAGAGTGAAGGAATAAGCTCTCTAACAATTTTTACAAAAAAAGAAAAGGAGTACTTGTGGCACCTTAGAGACTAACCAATTTATTTGAGCATGAGCTTTCGTGAGCTACAGCTCACTTCATCGGATGCATACTGTGGAAACTGCAGAAGACATTATTTACACAGAGACCATGAAACAATAGCTCCTCCCACCCCACTCTCCTGCTGGTAATAGCTTATCTAAAGTGATCATCAAGTTGGGCCATTTCCAGCAGAAATCAAATTTTACAAATCAAATGACGCCTCCCTTACTTTTCTATCACTAACTTGCCCAATACAATGAGATTTCACTACATTAGGCTCCCAGACTATCTCTGAGGAACTCTTCATGGCACTTGCAGCACTACTCCCTGTGGCTCCTGATGCCTTCACAGAGCTGCAGACTCAGTGTTATAGACTACAAGTTACATTACATAGAAAAAGCTGTTTTCAGAAACCCTGAAAAGACTTCTGCTTGGAACAATTCTTATTAAAAAAAAACTTCCTTTGAGGTTTGAAGTCTGGTTGGGCAGGACCCGGAGGGCATAGGTGCTGACTTTTGGTTTTGCCGGTGGATGCCCCATCCTGGCTCCGGCCCCTCCCCCACTCCACCTCTTCCTGCCCCCGCTCTGCCCCCTCCCCTTAGGTCCTCTCCCCTGAGCATCTCCTGCCCACTGCTCACTCCTTTCTGACCCCTACTGCCTTGAAGGTGAGGTGTCTGTGTTTGGGGGGCTCAGCCTCCCGCCAAAACTGGCAATTTTCAGCATATTTATACTCTTCTTTCATATTCTGTTATTGAATGTGTGTCTATCATTGGCATCTTAACAATGTAATCATTATTAAAATAGTAATGAAATATATCATTAATAATGATGAATTACAGTATATTAAAATCATTACATTCAGCTACAAGCTGTCTTCACTAACATCCCAATTTAAAGACATTACGTTCACTCTGGGCTTCACTCCTGCTTAGGGCCTGTTTGGGATCTGAGGCCACTGATGGCTGTGGGAAGAAGGTGGATGGGAGGGACAAGCAGTGGAGAGTCTTTCCCCTCTCCCTGCCCCTTTCTCCTTTCCCTTCCTTTCGCTCTTCCTGCCCCTTTCCCTTTCTGTTGTTTCTTCTCTAAGTCCTTGCTCCCCTTCCAGCTGTTTCCCTCTTCTTGCTTCCCACCCATGTCCCTTTTCCCATCTCTCTCTGCTCCCCACCTCCCTTTGTGGTTAATGCACAGGCCTCAGGCTCAGGTGTTCTGGATTTGATTCTCTGCTCTGCCATAGACTCCCTGCTTAGCCTTGGGAAAGTCACTTCACCTCTGTGTGCCCTAGATCCCAACTGCCAAATGGGGCTATTGCTGACCCTGCCTCCTAGGCTAAATCCATTCATGGCTGTGTGATGATGGGGGAAATGGAGATACCAATGTTGGTAGATTTGGGGTGTATTTCTCCAGAGCCAGAGAGTGAGAGCCAGCTCACCAGGGGGGATGGGAGAGAGAGGGACTCAGTCCAGCTCCGCAAGGAGTGGGATCAGGGCTTTAGCCCTGCAGCTTCTGCCACTAGGGTTGCTGGGGCTCCCGAGCCGGGGACTTGAGCCCCACATGTTCTGCCAGGGTCCGGGGCTTCTCCCCCGCAGTGCAGCTCCTGCCGGGGTCCAGGGCTTCTCCTCTTTCCCCCTCCCCCACCAGCATGGCTCCTGCCAGGGTCCGGGGCTTCTCCTCCACGCCCCCCCATACCCCCAGCGTGGCTCCTGCCAGGGCTTCTCCCTAGCGCGGCTCCTGCCGGGGTCTGGGGCTTCTCCTCCCTCCCACTCCCCCCAGTGCAGCTCCTGCCAGGGTCCAAGGCTTTTCCTCCCCCTAACCCACCACTGCACCCAACCCTAGCCTAGCTGGGCTCCCTTGGGTCACCTGATGCCTGCTGTGGCCAGAGTGGAGCCTGGCTGGCAGGGAGCAACCATACAGGTGGACGTCATGGCCAAAAGCCCAAGAGGTGTGGGGCAGCCCTAGGCGAGCAAGGGCTGGCTGTGCTGCTGCTGGTAGCCCAGCACTCCTGCCCATGCCTAACCCTAAGTCTTTTTTTTGTGAGACTCACTCAGCCCCTGCCAGAGCAAAGAGGTGGGAAACAGTTGATCTGAGCCTACCCGCCAAACTGCTGATCACAGCTGCACGTAGGCTGCCCCTAGGAAACAACTCATCTGCCGAGGCACCCGCAAAACAGTTGATCCCTGGCTGCCAACAGCTGGTCATCCCAGTGGGTGCTGAACACCCCCTATTTTTTTTTTGGGCTTTTGGAGCTTGGCATGCTCCAGCCCCGGAGCACCCACGGAGTCGGCGCTTATGCCAGAGGGGATTTAAGGTGGGCATACCTGCCAACTAGGAATCAATTTTTTCCTTAAGACTAACCTTTTGGCAATAATCCCAATACATGAGTCAATAATGATTAATATATTATATAAAAGTACTTTTAATTGAACCAACAGGAAGAGTGCAGGATTAAAACCATGAAATCCCGTGATCTAATTGCTACAACCTTTGTCCTTCTTTTTCTCACTACCTCTCTACTGTTTGCTATCCTCACTCACATCACTGTAAACTATTCACGGCAGGGCCCTTATCTGTCTTTACTGTAAAATGCCTAGGGCACAGAAGAATTATTAATAGCACTAGTAATAGCGGTGGTCCAAAACCAGACTCTACCACCGAAAACCACCCAGATCTGGGGGGATTCTTAATCTGAACCCCAATCTGGACCTGAAATTTGTAGTCAGCCCTTATTTCTATAGGGTCATATTGTGATATCCTTCCACGTGTTGAACAGTACCTTATAGGTGTAAGATTCCATTCAATATGGGGAAGGATATCACTGTCTAACTCATAATGGGTAGAACCTAACACTATAATAATGGGTAGAACCTAACACTATCTCTATATTGGGTCCAACCAAAACGGTGCTTGAAAGACTAATGTGCCTTAGTTGCATGATTCTTTTCCTCTTCTTGGGAGCTGTGAGACTTGCATTACTTAAAAAGAAAAGGAGTACTTGTGGCACCTTAGAGACTAACCAATTTATTTGAGCATGAGCTTTCGTGAGCTACAGCTCACTTCATCAGATGCATCTGATGAAGTGAGCTGTAGCTCACGAAAGCTCATGCTCAAATAAATTGGTTAGTCTCTAAGGTGCCACAAGTACTCCTTTTCTTTTTGCGAATACAGACTAACACGGCTGTTCCTCTGAAACTTGCATTACTTAGAAAGTTTAGGTGTAGAGAGTGTTCCTCCATGACATGCAATTTCCCCACAATTCTTAAATCATATACGCTAATTGTTACTACTGTATTTAGAAGTGACAATCAATATGAGTTACAAAAATATTTTTTAAAACTCTTTTCCTCAGAAAGCTCCTCTTCTCTTTCAATTACATTAAAATACATGCTCTTGTTTTCTCTCCCCAATTGTCCCCATTTCCCTATCTCAAATGTCCGCAGGTAGGCATGTTCTGGAGCTGTAAAATTCAGATCCTGAACCAGCAACACCCTGAAATAAGGATTCACTGTTTGGTTTGGCCTATTATAGAAATGTGGAGGAATAGCTGCAACATACAGGTCTACTATCTAATCCACATCGCTATTTATACCATACTCACCTCATGACATCTAGAGGCTGGTCCATGAGGCTCAGCACCGCGGACCAGACTTGGGATAATACTGGGCTCTGATGTTTTGTTTGGGCATATTATAGAAACTGAACCATAAGGCACAATTTTGGTCCAAGTTTTGACGCCCCCACAGGTCCGGGGGATCCGGCTCTGACTCCGCCTGCTGTGATAAGAAAGGGAGAGCGGCTCGGCACCATAGGCCTGGGTCTGCGTTCAGAGTCAGCCAAAGGCTGGGGGCACTGGGGGCTCGTCCGGGCTTTGTCTCGGTGTCTTCCCCTTCCTTCCCCCGGGCGGGGCGGGCGCCTGCAGCTGCCGGGAGCGGCGCCAGCGGACCAAACTGGTCCCGGGTGCTTTCGAGAGGAGTCGGAGCAAAGGCCGCGGCAGCTCGGCGGGGGCGGCGACAGCAGTGGCTATAAAGAGCGCTCGTTTGCCCCTCTCGGGATGCCGGGCTCGCCGCGTCCTCAGCCGCTGGTCGCGGGGAGCAGAAGTGTAAGGAGCGGGCGCGAGGCGGGAGACAGAGCGCAGCGGGGAGAGACAGGACCTGTGCCGGGGGCTGAGCTGTGGGGCGCCGGGACCTGCCTCCTGCGCTCGGGGAGGGGATGCCCGCACCTGTCCCTGACTGAGGAGGGGGTGCCAGGACCGCTCGCCTGAGCTCGGGCTGGCGATGGAGGGATGCTGGGCACAACCTGAGCCGGCCGCTGCCCATTCTCACCTGCTGCTCCTCACATGGAGCAGGCGGGGTTCGCCTCCGCCCTGCCTCTGCTGGAAGAGGGGCTGCGATTAGTGGGCCACTGTGCCTCACTCTTCAATGTTGCGTTTAGTAGCGTTCTCAGCGCTGTAAAAGGCAGAGTAGACCTGACCCCGACCGGGGAGCACCGCGGGGCCTTTTGTTTTCGAAGGGCAGGGCGGAAGTTGTTTACGATATTAGACAATGATACCTACTATCCTGGTTTGTTTTCAGTGCGATTTGTTTAAGAGAGCAATACTTGCTCTGCAAACTCATCTCATTGGCATGCACAGGCTGCCAAGCTTGCTGAAGTTGACTAGATGCAACATTTATTTGACCCACTTGATTTTCTACCTTATGTTTGTGAAAACGTCCAATTAATTATTTATATGAAGTTTATTAATACCGTTTGTTTATTTATTTGAAACAGGCCTTTTCTTTTCTTTTCTTTTAGATAACACTGTGGTGTTATATGTTTCTTGATTCTGCAAGAAGGCAATGCTGTATTTGGTACTATCTCTTTCCATAGTGGAATATTTGTAAACTACAGTAGAACCTTAGAGTTACAAACACCTCAGGAATGGAGGTTGTTTGTAACTCTGAAATGTTTGTAATTGTGAACAAAACCTTATGGCTGTTCTTTCAAAAGTTTACAACTGAAGGTTGACTTCCTTCAGCTTTGAACTTTACTATGCAGAAGAAAAATGCTGCTTTTAACCGTCTTAATTTCAATGAAACAAGCACAGAAAGTTTCCTTACCTTGTCAAGTCTTCTTTTTAAACTTTCCCTTTATTTTTTTAGTTGCTTACATTTTCCACAGTACTGTACTATACAGTATCTGGGTTTTTTGTTTGTTTGTTTTGTCTCTACTGCCTGATTGCATACTTCTGGTTCCAAATGAGGTGTGCGGTTGACTGCTCAGTTCGAATTTGTAACTCTAGTGTTTGTAACTCTGAGGTCATACTGTATTATTCATTACGGTATATCATCTTTTTAATTTTACATTTATTCCACTTTAAACAAATACTCAGTGAAATGTATTCTTTTAGCTCCATGATGCTAAACTTTATAGGTGTAAACCAAAGCTCTCTGTGTGGTATAATTTTTTAGTTAGACAGAATAGTGAGTACATGGTGCTTAATAGTGGGTGGTCCCTGTTCAGAAGGCTTTGTGCAGGGTCCAGTCCTCCATGCCATCCTCAAGCAAAATCTGACAAGTCAAAAGCAGTTTTTCCTGAGTAAATAGTAGGTGGGCCCACAGTCTGAAGACATACACATAAAAGACCACATATATGGAGTCATAATGTTTTGTGGAGGAGCTGAATATTCTTTGTTTTGGTTTTCACCAAGAAGGTTAGCAGTGATTGGATGTCTAACATAGTGAATGCCTGTCAGGGTTGTTAAGCACTGGAATAAATTGCCTAGGGAGGTTGTGGAATCTCCATCATTGGAGATTTTTAAGAGCAGGTTAGACAAACACCTGTCAGGGGTGGTCTTGATAATACTTAGTCCTGCCATGAATGCAGGGGACTGGACTAGATTACCTCTCAAGGTCCCTTCCAGTCCTATTATTCTATGATTCTATGCTTTGCTCAACATTACCATAGTTCAGTGGGCAGTTACTAGTATTTTGTATTTCAGTAGCCCACAAGTCCTAGACAAAATTGGGGCCCCATTGTGCTAGACACAGTACAAACAACCAATGACATTTGCTGGAAAGGTTGCATGTAAGAAAAAAATATGTCAGATTCAGCAAAATATTTAAACTTTCTGAAGTTAGTGGACTACCCATGTACTCATGCATTTGTGTAAGTGCTTTGCTGAATTGGAACCCGTGTTCTTCTGACAAAGTCAGTGGGAGTTTTGGGGTGCAAAGAATTGAGGATCAGTCCTTAGAGGGGGACACTAAAGATTTTTTTAAAAGATCCCTAAAACCGGCTTTTCCACATAAATGAAAAAAGAAAAAAAAATCAAAGCTTTTAATCTACTTTCTGCCTTTTATTATTACTATTATTTTATTTATTTATTTATTATTTATTATTTATTATTACTATTACTATTATTATTATTAATCTACTTTCTGCCTTATTTATTATTATTAGAATGTTGTGAAGCTCTTTAGTTATAAACTTTGTACTTCTAAAGATAATGAGTATTAAAGTTCATATTTAAAATTGATAACCACCACATAAAAATGTAGTCCTTGACTTGTATGATATCTTAAAAGTAGTTATAACAGTACAAATTCTCTGTACAGATTATAGCTATTACAGTTCAAATTTATTGTTATGATAACCATATAAGATATAGTACTTGATTTGTGTATGATATTTTAAAAATAGCTGTAACCAGGGGTGAAAGTAACTTAAAGGACTTACCGGTACACCGGAGTCCTAAGCAGGGGGCGTGGCCTCGACTGGAAGAGGCATGGCCTCAACCAGAAGAGGCAGGGCCTTTAAAGGCCCAGGGCTCCGGCTGTGACTAGGAGCCCTAGGGACTTCAAATCACCCACAGAGCTACCAGTTGCAGAGGCAGCTGGGAGTCCCGGGGCGATTTAAAGGGCCTGGGCTCTGGCCATCGCTACCGCAGCGGAGCTCCGGGCCCTTTAAATCAGCGCTGGAGCCCTGCCGCCACTACCCCGGGGCTCCAGCAGTCGTGCTCAGGAGGCTGTGGGGAGCCCGGGGCCCTTTAAAGTGCCAGCCTGGGGAAGCCAGTCCGGTCTGGCACAGCGTATTGGCTCTTGCCGGTACGCTGTACCGTACTGTACCGGCTTACTTTCACCTCTGGCTGTAACAATGCAAATATTGTATACAATACGTTTTATTTGCTTTTATCTTTCATATGTTTTGAAAGTACTGTTTTCTTGTATTTGATTGTTTATTTGACACCCTGAGCATCTTGTCTGGAGATGGGAGCTTTATTAATGCAAAACCATTATAAATGAAATTTATATTTACTAACCATTATTTGTAAGATTATTTTCCTTTTCCTTTTGTTTTATTTTGGTAACTAAAATAAAAGAGACAGTGATATCCATTTTTTAAAATTGCAGACACTAAACAAACACATAACAAGTGGTGTTTATACCTTGTGCCTACCTGCTAGGTGAATTTCAACCCTGTAAAGTAGGATGGGCACCAATAGTTATTTTTATTCATTTAAATACATCTATCAGAAAATAATAACATTAGGTACTGGGATCAATAAGGTGTGATATTATTTTGCTGTGGAGAAACTCACTGCACCAAATCCAAAAAACCTTATAATACTCTGCTATTTGGGAACCATATATGACAGACACTGAATCCAACACTTATGCTACTGGATCTTAGTGTGTTATATTTTCACAATTATTGAAAATATTGGCTGTCCTTTTTCTTCTTCTCCTTCTTATGACTGGAGTTTGCATTTTATTTGTAAGTTATATTTTCTCATAAAAAAGTATTGTCATTAAATGTTTGCAGTAATAAACCTGCCACATATTCTCCTTACTATATTTGTAGTGTGGAACTTATTCTAGTAATAATCTTCAAAAATTAAAATAAAATAAATAAAATAAGATAGGTTGATAGGGAATTATGTAAGATAGGAGGGGGCTGGATAAGTCTTTGGTGTGTGTGAATGAAATGTAATCACTGAGATGTTGGCTATGCTGATGTGTCAGCATAGGATGAATTAGAAGATATTCTGCAAACCCTTATTTATACGAGCAAATACAAGTACAAGTAGCTCATACAAGTAGCTCCATTAAAAGCAAAGAGATTTTTAGTAATTTTAAGCTATTTGTGTTGAAAAGGCCCCAATCCTGCAAAGAAGTGCATGTAAGCAGACCCCTGCTCTTATGCAGAGCCCCAATGGCCCCTGACCAACACAGGATTGAAAAAGCTGAAAGGTGGTACAGAACCATCTTTCCCTTATTCTGGATTTACATTTTACATAGCTGAGCCCATTGACTGCAGTGGAAGTTCTGTGTTAGTAAAGAAAGCAAGATTTGGTGCTTTATTTTTCTCCATATTCCTTTAGGTGAATAAGCCATGGCCCTGTGTATGGGGCAATATAGAGATGAATCAACCCAGCAACAGTTTTGTGGGACATGCCTCCTAGCTCCCTGGCACTCCAGAGAAAGAAAGCTACTACCGCACCTCTTTAAAAGGTGCAAGATTAGAAGAGGTTCCTTGCACCTTTCCTCCCCTTCCCCTTTTGTCCACCCATTGAAGGGCCACACAATTTTTTTCTTGTTGAATAAGTTCTTGTTGAATAAGGATGACTGACTTGATGTGCGAAGAAAAAAGATTTGACAAATTTTAGGAAACTGAATTATATGAAAATGTTGAGTAATTATTGCAGAATGTAATAGTGAGTAGAGTTTGTTGGAAAATGGAAAAAATTCTCACAGGGATAGTCACAAAATGCTTTCTTTTTTTTGCCCAAGTTTTATTCAATGGAAATTTTCCAGTCACCTCTAATAG